TTCTCTGTAGCCTTTAGCTGAAGAGATTCGTGCGCAATGACTCACTCACGTCCATCTACATCTGTCTGCAATATTGCGCAACCAGTAGCAAAATCGGACGCGTCAAAGACGATACATAAAAGCCACTCAGGGTCAGGCAAAGCCAAAATTGGAGCATGAAGAAGACTTTACGTATAGCTTTGAAAGCTTGAGCATGGACTGCGTCTTAGCACCAAATTGCATCCTTCATGAGGAGGTTCGTTAATGTCTGTGTCATATCAGCGTAGCTGCACTGTATTTGTGCAAGTAAATGGCTAAACCGATCCATTTACGAAAGCCCGTTTAGGGCGACGGAACCGGCCAGTCAACAATTGACTTGACCTCAGCTGGATTTTCTCGAAGGCCATGCTTTCCAATGAAGCACCCGAGAAAAGGAATTTCTTTAGCACCAAAAAATCATTTTGATGCATTTGCATGTAGCTTGTTCGAGCGCATGCACTCGAGCACTGCTCGTAAATGGTCAATGTGACTGTCCACATCTGATCTGCCTCTTCTGCACTACTATAGACAAAGCTGTCATCGAAATAGATTTGATCATATTCTCGTTGAGGTCCTAACAATTGCGTCGAAAGCTGATTGAATGTAGCCGGGGCATTAGACAGCCCTTGAGGCATGACAAGCCACTCTCAAAGCGTAACGATTGGAGTACTAACCGTTGTGAGCGGAATATCGCTCTCTGGCATGAGCAATTGATAATAATCATCGACTGAGTCGAGTGCAGTGAACATGGTACAACCTACCATAGTGTTCTGAAGAATATCCGTACCAGGAATAGGCGTCTGTGTTGGTATAGTGGATGCATTAAGCTTATTGTAAGCATGAACAATGCGCCACTTAACATTTGGCTTTCTGACACAAAATGTCGGTGTCGAGCGCGGAGACTTGCTATCACGCACCATGCCAGCCGCGTGCTTTGCACGAAATAAACCGTCAGTGACGTCACACTGCTCCTTTGGTAGGGGTCATTGCCTTGTCACACAGTATTTGGTCCCAGGAACCAGGTCAATTTTAGACGTTTGCCTCAATCAGGATGCAGAGTGGAAGTTGGGTCGTGACACACCACATCCTGAAACTCTGTAGCCAAAGGATATAACAGGTCTTTAGAAGCTTTCAAAATCGATTACCCACGTGGAGCACTCAGTGCTGCCTTCGTGTCTTCCAAAACAGCCTCGTCAAGAAGTGACGAAGGATCCAACTCGATATCGGTTCTACTGACCATCACTTCAGATAATTCCCTTAACGTAAGGTCAGGCCAAACCCATCGACATTTCCATTTCGTCTAGCTCTTACAGAGTATTCAGTGTGGGTAGAATATCAAGAATCATTGACCCATCTACGTCATCACTCCATCAACGAGTGTATATAGATGTTCGCTTGTATCACTCAGTGACGTAACAGACGCCTTGCTTAACATAACAGCTACCTGGTGTCGCTGTCGTCTCTGTGAAGAGACTGAATGTCGAAAAGAGACTGAAACTTTCTCGTTCCCAAGGTTGATACAATCATCATCCTTACTTGATCTGTACGAGAGCCGTTTTCTTTACCGACACAGGATCCATCAATAGCCCCAAGGTGGACATGACCGTCAACCTTAAGTTGCTCATTACCAGAGCCGATGTCATTACCGACATCCGAAGCGACGCTGTCATTAAGAGGCGAACCGCTTCAATATCAATATGCCAAATATCAGAACCGATGTCGTTACCGACATCTGAGACAACACTTTTCCCAAGGTGATGAACGTCAACCTTCATTTGATCTATTTTCAATCCGATGTCACTACCGGCATCTGGTGATGAGTCACTTCCAGTGAGATCACCACCCAGTGGATACTTACGTGCCACTCCACGTTCATCAAATAGGCGTTGACTTTGATGACTTGGTATTTCACTAACAATGCCTTGACTGACATCAAGTGTGTAGCAATCATGGCCAACATCACTCAGTGTGTACTTACGTGGATTTACACGCTCGTCAAATGGGCTCAACCATTGATGACTTGGCTCTAGGCCAACAATGCATTCAGCATTCAGTGATTCATTATCACAGCGATTATCACTCGATGGAGTACGTTCCGTCTCACTAACAGTCATTGAACTTTGCTCGTAACTAATGCTTTCGACATCGTCTAACTCGACGAGTTCAGCCATACGGATGTCCAGCACACTGACTGTCTCTGTCCGTAGCCCGCTCCAATAGCGTTTCTGTCTCCATGCAGAGGTGGATTTGTGACTCTCTAAAGCTCCACTAGGAAAAGTGCGTATTGCGCCTACTATATTTGTCCTCCAATCAATCCATGGCTCATGGCGTTCTAGCCAAGACATACCAAGGATGAGATCACACCTCTCATCCAAGTCAAGGACTAGACAGCGTTCAATACTGTCAAAGTCCGATAAAAACTCCTAAGCTCGAAGGAACTTTGGGCACAGAGACTAATACACCTGTCGCCAAGCGAACAGTGATAGTCTCATTATTTCGTGCTTTCAGAGCCTCAGTATACTGCAAACTATCCTCAGGAAACAATGGCGAACGTAATTTCCCGACGCTCCGGAGTCGATAAATATCGACCATGGCTTATCAGAGAACTTTACTGTTGCTTTTGCAACTAACGCGTCTAGCTTGTACTCATGCTTCGGGATATTGCTCGCGAAGCCACTTGGGGCTAGTCCCTATTTAACGAGTTGGGAAGGCGCAGGAAAACGTCAAGCCGCATTTTGACGCGTGCCGCACTGCTGGGGATGATTTAGGTACAACAGAGCCTTAATACTCCCCAACAGTGCGGCCCGCGTCAATTGGGACTTGACGTTTTCCCGCGCTTTACCAACTCGTTGGATAGCGACGGGTGGTCGGCTCGATTGGGCCTGTCTGTTCCTTCCCGAAGGAAAATTGAAGCAAAGATGTTTGATAGTACCGCACGTAATACATCTATGGGTGTTAGAACGCTGTACGACAGCGTAAAGATTAGCTTCTTCGTCTCTCTCAGTGAGACAAAGCTTCATGGGCTCCACCCTATCCATGATGTGAGCATTGCTCGACGAGCTCGATTTGATCCCATGAATTCCGTAGCGGGGAGCTTTAGAGTTCAACTTTGCGTTAACGCTATGTTCACTATACCCTCAAATGTCAAGTGTCGTGTACGAAACACTTCTGTTCTGGTAACACCAGTGCGAAGAACCTCCATGAAAATAGTTACCAAAACTGTCTCAGGTAAAGGACCACATTGCATAGCATCAATGAGAGTTCGCAACTCTTGGACATAATCAACTAAGTTGATTTTACCCTGGCAGGTTAACAGGAAGCGTGATCGCACGCGATGTGCCTGATTAGGCGGAGCAAACACCCGAGATAGCTGCTATTTTAGCATGTCCCAGGTGGGAAAGCCTCTTCTATTAAGGTGCCGGAAGTAAACTCCTACTCCCTGGCTTGGTCGCCTGACTTTAATAGAGCCAGGACCACCTTCTGCTGCTCTGACCGCAGCAAGGCCAAACTAATGGCAACATTTATCTCGCGAAACCACATAAGGAGATTTTTCTCCTCTTTCCCCTCCAAAGTCTTGACACTTAAGACTAGAGGACGATTCCTTGACTCAGTGTCCGGTATTGTAACAGACTGAGATGGCACGAAAGATGTCAAATGGTCATGGACCTGTCCGATCAACGTGGACTCAAAGTTCGAAAAGGCCTCGAGACGTCCACGAAGTGCGTCCGAGCCTTGCGACACTATAAGAGCCACTTTCACATGCCCGATCAACGCCGTGAGCTTCTCAAGCATAATCTGTTGGACCTCAGAAAGATTCATGGACTTCTCCGTCCTCGCAGAGGATTCAGTTTGTGAAGAATCAGGTGTATGTTGACTGCGAGTGCTACCAAGTGTAGTGAAGCTTCTCAGCTCTCCTTAACAGAGGAAGTCTTGGAATCAAAGAGTCTCTTTGTTATAACAAACTAACGACGACGTACAGTCGTTCAAGCGTACAAGATTAACAATCCCAGTTCCAGAGAGATTGCTATTCAAATAATCTTACACTAACTAGTCACTACTAGTTAAACAAGAACAAGCGCCCCTTCACAAGGCTAACACTATTACAACACGCTATGCCTTGACTAGGCACCAGAGTACAACGATTCAAAAGGGAACTAAACTTTATTTATTCTTTGAACTACGGTAATAAAACCATAAAACCTTTTCTGACTAATTTCTACATTGCGATTCTATGACAGAAGTCTAATCCCTTATCCCTGCCCGATAAGGTGCGGTGTTACCGTAATTACGTGGCACCAAGACTGTACCACTCAGATTCACCGATCTTTACTTGGTGTGGACACACAATATAACCGGTAAACAACCGCCATGTAACCCGTTACATGAACTAGCAAAAGAGATTTTAAACAAAGGACCCCTGTAACGGGGCACCCTGAAGCTTGTACTGGTAACGGTACAAGCTACTTATTCTGATGACAGAATAAGGCGGTGCCTCGGAACTTCACGTACACTCGTACGTGCAGAGGAAGACGGTAAGAAGAAGCGAGTACTTGGTTAAAGCAAAAAGTAGAACTGTATTTTTAATAGTTGATGTCTGCAATAAATCGCTATTTATCTTCAACTAACTATGTCTGAATACAAATGTGCATATCAACTATCTGCTCACCACTCATTGCGTACGCCTGTCGTGGCGCGTCTTCGTTGTTTGAAATATTATGGCCTATATCAAACAGTTAGGAACTACTCGTAAGTGCTGCAGAACATTTGTCCTTATGACAACATTCTGAGAATGTAACTCTTATAGTTACATTCTATTAACAATTTCTTATAAATTGTTAAGTAACGATTCACTCCGTTACATCACCCCTCCTTAACCATCAGTCAATTTAGTGACTGGTTGACTAAATGGATACTCGTCCCAAATCATTTGGGACAGGGTTTGCAATTGCTGGTCCGAGGCCACTTTCCAATAGTTTCACCGCATGGTTAACAAGTCCAGGCTGTGCGCGAACAAGGCCGCCGGGAGCGCGTCCGCACGTCTCTGTGCGGACGCCGAAGCAGAAAATGCAGCAACTGATGTCTCATCAATTGATGAAGCGACTCAGCCTGTGTCGCCTGGTGATGCAGGCGCTCGTCATGAAGACACTCATGTCTTCGCAGAGTATGAGCTCGGTGTCTCATACTCTCCTGATACAAAAGATGGATTCGTATCGACGGCGATCGAATTCAAGCCGCCTGCCAAGCGTGGCATGAATGATGCTTTGCGTCGCAGCATCTTTGGTTCATCTGACGAATCAGATGAACCATCGCCAAAGCGAAGGCGCTCGAGGTCGCGAGACTCGGGCGCTAATAGTGGTGTCGGTTCTCCTATGGACACCACTTCACAGCGAGGTGCCAGTACTTCTGTCGGCACGTCGCAGGAAGAGCGGGACCGCAATGTGTTGCGTCTCGCTCCTGAGAAGAAGGCATGGATGCCTCCCAAAATCCGTCATGGATCACTTGTCGGCGACGACAACTGATCGCTGTTGAACACGATTGTTCGATTCGTCAAGGATCCATCACTTTGACCCCAGCGCGAAAAACTATCACGCTGAGAATGAGTTCTTCATCGATGCTTTCTTAAAACATCGATGGTACGATGGGAATCACAAACGTGATGGTCCCTCACTGCTTCAAGCGTGGAACGCTTACATCCATAACCTTGAGGATGTAGGTTGTGACGTTTGGAACGACAAACTTATCAAAGCTCGTGATAAGTTTGAAAAGCGAACCCCGACAGGTGCACGCTACAAGCTGCATCGTCTGTCTAGGGATAGTGGGTTTCCCTGTCTCTCCTGGGGAGACTCGTGCCCATGTTGTGTGAACAACTCTGCACGAGCACCTAAGGAGGCTTACCTCCTTACTAGCCCGTGGTGGCGCGCACGTATCTCTATTAAGATGTACGAAGGGATTGACAACCTGAAATCCCTTTACGACCGTGCCGGTAGGACTTTCCCCGGCGGTCCTTCTGCGGCACAGGATGTGCCGCGTCGTACTGCTCAACCAGACCCAGTACGTCAACCATCAGTTGGGAGCGGGGCCCCCAAGTATCCCAGGACGAGGGATAGCCGCGCCACCGGACGAGATAACTCGTCCGACGTCCGTTCACGTCGCGGTGGTTCAACAGCTGCTCCACTAGATAGCGCTAGCCACCGCGAGAGTCCTCTAATGGAGGTGGAGGAGGAGAAAGACGCTCTCCACACGATCGTGGGGATCCGTGTGTTCCCGAGAGCTTCTTTGATCGCGTAACGCAAGCGTTACGCGGCGATCTCGAACATGAGCGGGACAGACGTCTCCAACTGGCGGACGCTGTCTTGAAGCATCGAGCTGAGTTTGCCTTTGCTCAGCTTAAAAACAAGAGAGCTTTGACATCTCTGCGTGACGAGCTAAGGGTAGCTCGTGCGATTGTTGACCGGTCTCGGTCTAAGATACCTGCCCCTTAAACCCTTGTCGATGTCCACCATCGGGAGCACAAGGCTCTCTGTGAGATGCTTGAGCGCAAGGGCGTTCTGCATCGGAAGAAGCAGCGTACTGATGGTACGGCTTAAGCCGACCAACGTAAAACGTGGGATGCGTTCGCATCTTACGTGGCAATTCGATCGTGTGTGCATTTCCTAGGCGATGCAATACACAAAATGGGCCGGTGTACTTGGGTAGAAGTTTACTACTACTACCCAAGTTAGTCACTACATGCTTTGGTAGGCTAACCGTAGACAGTAGGGCTAAGTCACCTTTATTAAAAAAAAGAGTGTTTGCCCTTCCATTCTTGTCTGCGTTTTGCTTTTGCTTATCCACCGCTTCGGCGATGGAGTCTTGCACAAAACGGACTACCGTTTCACGAGCCAGTATGAACTCGTCTGATGACTCGTTAGCTTCAGTGCGCTGTGAGTGCACTGCAGCAACATCAATCTTTTCTTCAGTGAGGGCTTCCGCACTCTCACTGGCATCAATCTTTTCTTCAGTGAGGGCTTCCGCGCTCTCACTGGCATCATCTTCTTCGATATCGAAGTTATCGATATCGGCATTAAACGCAGTGATCTCATCGTCAGAGCATGATGAGCGTTAACCAAATCGGTTTTGCTCGCGCGAGTCCCTTCCCCCTTTAAACCAGAGTTACACTCTAGTAAGGTGGGTACACGCGGATGGCGTAAGCCATTCACGTAAAACGGTGTGTGTGTCGAGGACGCATGCACCGAGTTGTTTATGGCAAACTATACCATGGGCAAGAACTCACTCCAACTATTAAAGGGGTGTACGTATCCTCGAAGTATCTCTTCAAGGACACGGTTGGATCGTTCCGTCTGACTATCTGACTCGGGATGATCAGATATAGACATCTTCAAGCGCGTTCCGAGTGATTTGAACACAAAACGACAGAAATCAGCAGTGAAGCGTGGATCTCTGTCTGATACGAGTTCACGGGGCAACCCGTGAAGTCGGAAGATGGTGTCGATAAAGACACAAGCACAGCCACTTGCTGTGATTTTCTTGGGTACAGCCACTAGGTGTACCATTTTGCTGAATCTGTCAACAGATTCGAGAATACCCGTATTCCCGCGTGCGTCTTTGGGTAACTCGAAGACGAAATCCATTGAGATGGATTCCCATCACTCAGCCGGAACCGGTAGAGGCTGTAAAGGTGCACGCAGTGAAGTAATTGACTTCACTCGTTGGCAGACTTCGCATGCGCGAACATACTTGCGCACAAACTGATACTGGCGGGGCCAGTAAAAGTCTCGACTCACCGTGAGATATGCTTTCTCACGGCCACGATGTCCTCCTATAGGAGCATCGTGATACTCGAACATGATCCGCAAAAGCAGATCAGTAACATCTGGAATGACAACACGTGGTGTGTCACCAGAAACGGCTGTATAATACAGTAACCCGTTGAGAGTAGTGTATCGATCTGATGCAGATCGATACGCTGACGATGATCGTTTCAACGATTCTCGAGATGGTTGGGAGAGATGTGTCAACAACTTCACAATCTCACTATCTTGGGCATACGCCCGCCTCACAGCATCAAGCAACGTTGTAGATGGGACTGAGGACGTCATAACCGCAACAGTGGCTGTCTCAATGTTGGGTTTCACGACTGGTTCAAAGTCGGGACGATGTGAGAGTGCATCATCGACGACAATAAGTCGTCCTGGTTTGTACTCGACCATAAAGTTGTATTCCGCAAAGAATGACAACCACCGCGCCATTCGTTGTGAAAGGTGCGGGCTGTTCACTGCCGTGTGTAATGACGCATAGTCAGTGTAGACAATGAAGGGTCTATCTCCTAATCGATAGACTCTGAACTTCGCGAGTGCATACTTCATAGCAAGGAGTTCCTTGTCATGCACTGGATAGTTCCGCTCAGCTGGTTGCAGCTGACGCGACTGATAGCAGACGAAGCGTTCAACGCCTTCAAGATCGTACTGCATTAATGCACAGCCGATTACGAAATCGCTGGCATCACAGACCGCATGAAATGGCCTGTCCTGATCAGCTATTGCTAGGACTGGGGATTGTATCAAGCTCTGCTTGATACCATCAAAGGAGCGCTGACATTCAGCGTTCCATAACCACCTCTCGTTCTTTTTCAACAGACGAGAGAGGTGCACAGTCATCTCGGCGTAATTGCGTGAATACTTATGCAAATACGCCGATAGCCCAAGGAATTTTTGAAGACCTTTGACATCAATTGGCACAGGCCAGTCGGTAATCGCCTTGATCTTTTCGGGATCAGGACGTACACCTTTCTTACCAACGATGCATCCAAGAAGTGGTATTTCGCTTGCTGCAAATCTACACTTCTTGAGATTTGCATACAATTGATGCTTTTGCATGATTGTAAGAACCTGTCGGACGTGGTACCTGTGAACCTCAACATCCGACTTTCCATCCATAGCTCGACTATGGATGAATACGTCATCGAAATAACTCGGCGCGAACTCTCGTACTGGCCTCAACAGATGTGATACACATCTGTTGAACGTGGCAGGGGCATTACTGAGCCCTTGTGGCATTACTAGCCATTCCCAGAGCATGCCGGTAGGCGTGCTCACTGCGGTATAGGGTACATCCCGTTCTCGCATAAGGATTTGATAGAATCCATCCATGAGATACATGGACGAAAATATGGTACTCTTTGGCATACCATCAATGATTACGTCCTTCCTTGGTATCGGCGTCTCAGCCGGTACCTTTGCAGCATTTAACTTGTTGAATGCATGCACAATCCGCCAACCTCCTGTTGCTTTTCGCACACAGAAGGTCGGAGAGCTATGTGGGGAAGTTGATTCCCTCACATGGCCCGCAGCTAAACGATCGGCAAAGAACTTGTCGATCGCAAGTACTTGTTCACGAGGCAGTGGACAATGCTTCATGATACAGTACTTCGAGCCTGGTTTAAGCTCGACCTCGTGTCGAATACTTTAATCCTTCGGTAATTCGCACGGAACAGTTTCAGGGAATACATCCTTGAATTCAACCAAATCTTCATAGAGAGGATTTGTCTTAAGCGATTCCCACGATTGGGAGTCATATCGCTCAACTCGTGTCTTTTCATCGAGGACGCTCTCGTCCATCGATGAACTACTGAGAACTCTCTCGTTCTCAGTAAACACTGTTGCTGACCTTATGTCGGCTTCGCACTCGTCGTCAGCGACGAGTACGCAGATCTGCTTGACTTTGCCACTTCGCAGATCACGCAAGACACTTTTATGTTCGAGCGTTGGCAACTGAGTTATCTCCGAAGTCAACTTCGGAGGCGCAATCAGATCAAGTGTATAAGCGCCTACCCTTGATCCGTTATTGACTATGACATTCAATGTCTCTGTCATTTCCTGGGGACTTATTCCCTCAGGCCTCGAAGGACTCATTGCTTCGGCTTCCCGGTGACTTATTCCCGCGGGTTTCGGGGAACTTATTTCCGCCGTATTTGTAATCTTGGGACTTATTCCCTTTACTTCCTCTAGCTGGGGTTGCGCAACCACAGCGAGATCCTCTACGAAAGACTCTCCAGTCGATCTAGGATTATCGTTTCGCTTAACCTGAGCGATCGATTGTTTCTCTTCTAGATGTTCCCCGCTAGGGATACATCTTTGTCCCGGTCCACTCGACTTATTCGAGTGGTGGACCTTCGGCGCAGCCTGTGTTTCCTCACAGCCGACGGAACTTTGCTCCGAAGTGTAACTGTTTGCTACACTAAGGTTTTGTGCAGTCGTACTAACGACCGTACCACAAGTGAGGCCATCGCACTCACTCGTAGTACATCCACACGCTTGTGGACGCTCCAAAACGTTCATCAGATAGCCATACGATGAACAAGCGGCAGGCATCGTTACTGTTCGATGTTGCCAGTTCACCCGTGGTTCGTACCTTCTGAGCCGCGGTATTCCAAGGATGACATCAAATTTGTCATCCAAATCCAATACGATAAAGTCATCGTCATATTGGGCATCTTCTAGCGTATAGTGGATCTTCACTATACGCTTCATGACGGTTACGGATGCGCCTGTCGCAAGACGTACCGTCATCCTCGTAGGAGGTGTGTCACATTCACTGAACTTAAAGTGACCGTCTTCTAGCGATTGGCGTCGCAAAAAATTGTTGGACGCCCCACAATCGACTAGAGCTCGAAGGGACAACTTATTCGTCACTTCGAGTTTCAAGGTAATGAGTGAGATCTCATTACCTAGAGAAGCAACGCACAGCGTTTGTGTGTTGGGAGCAACCTTCATCAAGAGGCCTACAAATTCTCTTGACGTTGCTGGACCAGTAGGGTGCTCCGCACCTACTGATCCTGTCCGTTTTTGACGGTCCATCCCGTTGTTGCGTCTTTGCACCAACAGCGGACCCGCGTCCCTGCCCCTTTCTCATGGGTGGACGGTCACCAAGCCCAGTATTGTGAGACACTGGACGAGGGGCACTACACTCGTAAGCGTAGTATCCTGTCTTTTGACATCTGTTGCATTTCTGCAACTTCTTGTAGTCGGAAGAGCGAGCCTTCTCGCTCTCTACACAACAGAGTTCCACCGGCTCTGGACCTCCGCTGTCATATCGTCTCGGTTGACGATATGATGTCGAGCTGGCCCGAGCCTGTCTCATACTGAAGTCTTCCTGCTCCGCAATGGAAATGGCTTGTTCTAGTGAATCTAGTTCAAGCCGGAACAGGTGAGTCTTGACGGGACCATCCGCAAGACCCTGCATGAACACCGAAACCAACGTGTGTTCATCCACCGGATTGGAACTTATAC